GGTGGTGATATTTCTAGTATACTGTATATGGGGGGTGGTGATGTCATGGTGATCTGTATACAGTATGTATGGGGTGGTGATGTCCCCTGTCATGGTGATCTGTATACAGGGGGTGTCCCTTGTCATGGTGATCTCTATACAGTGTATAGGGGGTGGTGGTGTCCCGTCATGGTGATCTGTATATATTAATGATCTGTATACAGTATATATGGGGTGGTGATATCTCTAGTATATGGAGGAGGAGGGGGGGGTGATGTCATGGTGATCTATATACAGTATATAGGTGATGGTGATCTGTATGTAGGGGTGGTGAGGTCTCTAGTATACGGTATATAGGGGGTGGTGATTTCCCCAGACATGGTGATCTGTATATAGAGGATGGTGATGTCATGGTGATCTGTATACAGTACATAGGTGTGGTGGTGTCCCTGGTATACAGTATATAGAAGGTGGTGATGTCTCCTGTCATGGCGATCTGTATATAGTGGTCGGTGGTGAACAGTCAATGGGGACGCTCCCTCCCCTGCCCCCGCCATGTCTCCCCGGTATGAGGTCAGTCTATGTACACAGACCGGTATTAGGAACACACATTAGAGCTCGCAGTGCCCCTCACCCTCTCATGGTGAATTTGACCACGCTCAATCTGGACCCGGCAGCGCTCAGCTCGGGCTGGAACTCGGCGTCTCCACCGATCACTTTCACTCCCACCATGTTGCCGGTTCCGCTCTACGCTTGTTTCTGCCGCGTCACGCCGGGCCGTGTCTGTCTCCCTCCCACAATGCCGCGCACCGGCATGCAGGGCCATGTGACTGAAGCGAGGCTCCCGTCGCCATCTTCCTTCCTGGCAAAGATTCTACAAATGACTGTTCCACTTATAATAATTATAATAATGCTACAAAAGTATAAAATCCGCACAATAATAAATATTGTGAGGCAGAGGATGGACTGGGCACTCTGTGGGCTGCTGTCAACGTTATTTTAGATTTCCCTAATGGTATTGATGGTCTTTGTAAAGGAGTGATGCATTAAAGGGTGTTGTCCCTAGAAATTATTATAAATAAATGATGGAATTAAAGTTTTAGAGTGTACATTGTGCGTGTTTCCCTATTTCCCCCTTTTTTTTCCTTTCAGGAGCAGACAGAATCTGGAGCAGTTGCTCATGGCAACCAATCAGCTTCACTCTTTAGTTTGTCAAGTTAAGATTTGACAATTAAATATTTAAGCTGATTGGTTGCCATGGACAACTGCTCCAGATTCTCTCTGTTCCCGTTTTAATAAATTCCCCTCTGTGTGTCCAGGGTCTGATTAGAAACTCTATATGTGGCACACCCTACACACTTCTTAGAAAAAAGAAGTGTGCCCCCTCGCTGGTGTCTGGAGTAGGGTTGCCACCTGTCCAGGATTCACCCGGACAGTCCGGGTTTTGAATGCTTTGTCCAGGTTTCATGGCAGCAGAAACCCGGACACAAGATGCCCGGCAGACAGGGGCAACCAAAATTACGATAGGGACTACTGGCCCCCTACTGAAAATAGTCTCAACTGTGATATTTACATATGAATGGATGGCACTATATACTGTACATATGAATAAGCCGCGGCTCATTCTCTCAAAAAAATATCCGCGCGTTGCTAGAGTGTTCGGGTTTTGCTTGAAGAAAAGGTGGCAACCCTCGTCTGGAGGCATGAAATTATAGTAATGAAAAATAGGTTTCTTTGTGTTTTCATTTCGACCTTACAACGGGCATGGCAGGGGGCGCATCCTCTGCATACACATTTTGTCCTAAAAGATGTGCCTCTTTCTCATATCAGATAGGGGAAGGATTGGTCTTCATGGCTGATTCTGTGTGTAATGATGGTATCACTAACGCCCAACTTCAACCAAAACATTTTATCGGATTTTGGACAGCGTAAAAAAGGGTTAGAACCTCTGCCAGATTTTTTATTGATGTTTGTGACCTTTTTGGGGAATGGGAAACCTCTCCAATGGGGACAGAAACACAGGGAAAACCTTTTTAGCAGAGTGGGGACAGGTTAGAACTTCTGACAATGTTTTATACCCCTATCCACTGGTGGGAGCCGGCCCTTTAGGTGTTTGTTTGTTCACTTTTACTGGCTGCACAGGGATGACATTATCTGGAGCCCGTCCTATCGTCAATAGCTGACCATGAGCTGCTGTTGACATCTTGGTCACAGTTCTTGATTCACCCGGACAGGCCGGTTTTTGAGTCTTGTGTCAGCGTGGCAGGCCAAGTGCCACCTGGACACGGGACACTTAGTGCCGATACCGGCAGTTCAATTTTTTTAACAGATGAGGCTGCTCAGGTGCCCAGCAAGCATGGGACCTCAGGCAGCCGCATCTGCCCAAAGCGGCATCCTACTGTGAGCCATGGGTGCCTGTAAACAGGTACCGACCGGCTCATCTTCTCCTCCGTCTTCCTGACTCCACGCTGCACGCCTCTGGACCCCTAGTGAGACACCGCACAGCCCACACAGCACTTGAAAGCCTGCATAGCCCACCTGAGACCCCCACACAGCCACCTGAGAATAGGCATAGCCCACCTGAGAGTGCACACAGACCACCTGGGTCATACCAAAACAGGGTGTGAACTGGGTCCAGTGAATTTCTCATTTCCAGTAGTGAGGTGACAACTTTGCTTTCTCTGCATTAAGGGCCCATTGACACCTTAGCATTGCACATATTGCACAATACTATCGCACAACACACCTAGCACGTGTTACTGTTCTATATGTGTGTGTTGTTTTGCCATTCATTTGAATGCCACCCCCAACTCGCCTTCCGCTCGCCGTGCAATGCACAGACAGTGCCGCAATAACGTGCTTTGCATTGCACAAGGAAGATCAGTATATGAAATTTCACATTTTTGAAAAATATAAAAAAAAACGCAATTATACTTTATGCATGTAAACGTTAGCACACATTTTTACATGGATACAGTATAAAATACAGCAAAACAAAAAATTTAACTGGACACTGTTGTGCTATTTTTTATGCTGCTTAGCCTTCTCTAGGGCTATGTACAGATGAGTATAAAACGATACGCCAGGGTTGAGAAACTCGATTACTCCAGCTGTGCTTGGACTACAAATCCCAACATGCCTCTTCTTCTGGGAGTCATGACTGTAACTGTCAGTCTTGCAATGCCTCATGGGACTTGTAGTTCCATAACATCTGGAGGGCCTGAGATGCACACCCATGCTATACGCTGTAATCAACTACACACAACACTTTTTCCACCTGTGTGAATAAGCCCTTATATTAGTTTTCCTGTAAACAAAAATGTTAGCCTAAAATCCCAACATAGATACACTTTGTCCGCTTCAAAATATAATATAAATGAGATTTCACCAGCATTCAGCTTTTCTAATATCATATGCAAGATATCATTATTTTTGTTTTCTAGTGTTATTTAGTCTTTATAGGCAATACCAACAACAGTAATGTTCTTCAGTTAATTTTATTTTATTAAAATAAAAATAACATTTGCCAGTAACCAAGATGGCAGCTTTCTCTTATCCTAAGCAATGACTAGCAATTAATCAGTGGGCTTCCTGATGAACTCATAACTAAGCGACCAGACGTCACATGTACGTAAATGTTAACCAATGAAGCACGTGTAGTATAGCGAAAGAAGATTACGTCAGGAAGCCACGCCTAATTATTGTTCTTTGTATTTCCGGAGTTTTTTTGTTTTTACGAGAAACTTTATTGACACGCGCATTATTTTTTGATAGAAGCAGCTGGTTCTCAGTGCCCGGAAGCTGGCTCATGTGACTATCCTGGCCCGGTTTCTGGAAGTACGACAGATGCCGTAAAGCGGCGCGCTGTCGCCATAGGAACAGTCAGCTGGTGTGCTGGGCTATAGCAAAGGGGGGTCGGTGAGAGGTCTATATCGAGAGGAGTGCAAGAGGTGAGTGTGTACATGGCTGACAGTTCTCTGTGTCATCATGGAGGGGATATGGTGTCATTTCATTTCATGGGATGGGGAGGAAGAATTGGTGTCTTGGGGATTTAGAGAGAACCTGTGATGGAGGAGCTTTACATAACATGATGGGTAGAAGAGGGTGCCATTGACGTATAAAGAGGACCTGTCATCGAGGAGCTATGTATAGGACAAAATGAATGATGCTGGTTGTGTAAATAATAAATACTACCTCAGTACTAGGATGGTACACCCTTTCCTTTCACTTCGCTTTATTACTTGGCTGTGCAGTAGTGTTCCTGAAAAATAATTTATACCATGTTTTCAGGACCCCCAGATCATTGGAGGGCAGCGGCCCTGTGAACCC